ATTATATTTTGTTTGATAAAAAGGAGAGAAATAGGTAATATAACTAAAGATATTTTATTGAAGAGAAACAGAAAAATAACTATGAAGAGATTAGAAATCAGATCTGTTTTCTTTTAAAAAAAAGTGTTTTTAATGAAATAATCACTTATTATTAATTTTAAAATATTTTGATAAATTTAAAATATAAAAAAGAAAATAAAATATATTTTTAACAAAAAAAAACTTATAAAATTGCTTAATACGAAAAGACAAAAAAAATGTTCAAAGGCATTTCTTTCTCTCAATTTTATTAAAATAGCATTAATTAAAAACTGAGAAGAATATGGGATAAATTGTGCATTAAAAATCAGTAAATTAATTAAGAAAAAAAATGTAAATTTCAACAAGAAATAAAAAAAAACAAAGATAAAACCAGAATTTATTAAAACTTTTTTTTTCAACTTTGTTTTGAATTATAATGATATTGAAATCACAAACACTACTTATTATAAAAGGCATATAAACAAATAATTTAATTCTTAAATTAAAATTAAAAATAGTAAAATATTAAAAAATAAGATTAAATTTAAATTTAATTTTCATGTAACTTTTTTATCAGTATTTTTGTCTTTGTACCGTTTGCACATACATGCATTTTTTGTCTACTAGGGTGAAATAAAACATTTCAAACAAAATATGTATTTTTATTTTATATGATTCTAATTTTATATTTTTATTATTACAAACACTAATATGTGTCAAATTATATAGTTTTAACAATATTTTTTTCTATTTTATGATATTTTTAATTATTTTTCTTTTAAATTTTATAAATTAAAGATTAAATAATTTTAAATGCAATTTTTTTAAATATAAAATAGAAATTATATAAATTTTAATCTAAATTATATTTTTGAATTATCTATTACATCATTTAATATCAAAGCATACAATTTAAAAAAAAATTAATTCTTTTGATATAATTAAAATTTTATATTAATACAAATTATTTTATTCCTTGTTTTTAAATTACAATGAATGTAATGCAAATCTTTTAAAAATATAAATTATGTAATTATATGATATTATTATTTGATTTTAATAAAAGTTGGCGTAAATTAATTATAGAGATAATTTAATTATTAAATTGATAAATTTTATTTTTTAAATAAAATTATTGATGGTATAATATTTATTAAAATATCGATCATCAAAAAATATTTTTAAAAATTTCATTTGGATAATCATTATAATTATTTATTGTTAGAATTCAATAATAACAAAATATATAAATGAATTATATTTTACTAAATTTTAAAATAAACAAAAAAATTAAATAGCATTATTTTAATATAAAACATTGTAAATATAATTATCTGGGGAGAATTTAAATTATAAGAGAAAAAAACATTAATCAATTAAGAGGATTGAATTATTTATTCTTTGATAAAATTAACAGTCTAAGTTTTAACAAATATTAGATTGTTAAAAAATTGAGATATACATATGTAGTGTTAAAATCTACTAAAGAACATTAATAATAAAATAATTAAATTAATTATGTATAATTTAATGTATTTTAAAATATATATTATGATAATTTTTGTCATTTTATTAAATATTTTATATGAAAATAATTTTTAATTTAATAGTAAGAAAAAAAATTCAATTTAAAAACATTAAATATATTAACGAAAACATAATCATTCAAATTGAGTATCCCATTTTTTATGATGTTAACATTTCATATTTATATTAATATTATTTTTAATTATATATATATATATATATAATATTTATATTATTATTTACTAATGAAAATACAGATATTTTAACATGTGTGTCCACATTTTGTGTCATTAATTTATTTTAAAATATTATTTTTGAAATATATTTAATTTTTTTTTACTTTTTATATTTTTATTATTTTTTAAATATATAAATAACTATTTTTTAATTATAACACTCTTGTTTTCTTCTCCACTAAAAAAATTACAAAAAATGTCTTTTATATATAATAATAAATTTTATAGGATTTTATCATATAAAAACAATAATTTTAATAAATATATTATTTATTTTACAATGTTTTTTTTATTAAATAAAACTAATGAGAAAAGTATAAATGTTAATTTTAAGATGTACCATAAATTTGATATAAAATTACTTTTTATCAGAGAAGTTATGTGATTATTAATTTGTATTTTGTTAAATAGTTAAATTATTTTATTTACAAAAATATAAACAATATATTAAAGATATGGATGATTCACATAAAAAATATTTTAAAAAATAAAAAAATATACTTATTCTTAATTTATTTACTGGCATGAAGAGAATGAAATTTAAATAAGCGAAGAGAGAATGATATTTTTTTTAAAAACATAAAAAATAGACAATTCAAAAGCGAGTTTAAAATACATATAATGTGCAAACAAATCACGAACAAAACCGAAAACATAAATTAAAAATGAGTTTTTTTTTTCTGTAATTTTAATAATAGTTATGTGAATAAAATAATAATATAAAAAGTTAATTCTTATTTATATATAATCAGTGTTATTATAAGAGTATTAATTATTTTATTAATTTATGTATTTACTTTATTTCTTAATCATTTATTAGTTATTGATTTTCACCTACAAATTTAAATCATAACGTATGTTAAATAATATAATACTAATAATTTTAAACTTATATATATAATCTAAACTGTCACAAATTTTACATATTATTTTTCTATATTTAATGAAACATTGTTTATATCTATATTTTTTATTTGCATATATTATAATATTATGATGTTTCTTGGTGAAAAACTAAAAAGCTTTTAACAATTAATTCTTTCTCATTTTTCCAAAATGTTCGTTACTTTTTTTATTCAATTCAATTAACACTTATCTAAAACCATCGTGATTCTTTTTAGTAGGAAATTTATTTAAACCAATAAAATTTTCAAGTAAAAAATATCATAAAAAAATAAAACAAGTATAAAATTTTTATTTATTCATATTTTGGTAATGAAAATTATTATTACATAAGAGTAATACTACATTATTCCGTTGAAATGTGTCAAAATTATGAGGAATAGAAATAAAAATTGTATTTTTTTTTCTACAAACAGGGAAAACAGAAAAGACAGTAAAAACAACATAGATAAAGACATGTTAGAAGGGAAATGAGAAATTTATTAAAAAGTAAAAATTATATTTATTATTTTATATATTTTATGTGTGATGAAATAAAAAAATAATAATTAATGCTCTTGACATTATGTATGAATTAGTTATGTATATTTTTTTAATTCCATAGAATATGTCTATTTACTAAACTCTTAATATATATATATATATATATATATATATATATAATAATAATATTCTATTATTATGCATCGTATATAAATACAAAGTATATTTATATAATAAAAGTACATGTACTTATATATATATATATATATATATATATATTTTTTTTTTTCATTAACTCTCATTTTATATCCTTTGTTTTGTTATTTGTATGAACTGTATATTTTTTATGAATATACCGTTCAAAATACATTATACGAAAGATATTAATGATCCACTTAAAATATTGTTAATATATTAAAATAATTATTTTTTTAATAAAATGAATATAATAATTAACTAATAAGAACCCACTCGAGAAAAAGTATACTCCAAGATAATTAAACTAATATTTTTTAATTATTATTTAAATTTTAAATTTTTCATGACAAAATGTAAAATAAAAAGTCACATATATAAAAAAAATGAATGAAAAATAATAATTTTTATTGTTGAGTAATAAGAAGAGTTACAGAGAAAAAAAAGTTATTTTTCATTGCAACAAACATGTCTATTTTTTCGAGCGCAATATAGTGAAAAAAATATATTTTATTAAATTATTCTTCTCTTAATAAATATTTTAATAATTTAAAAATAATTAATAGATAATTGTATAATTATATAAATATTAAATTAACATGAAATAACAATTTTTATGTTATTCTCCCCTCAAACGAGTACTTTTCATTTTATTTTATTTTCTCATACGTTTTTTCTTATTATCAAACGGAATCTATATAATTTTTTTTTCAATTTAAAAAAAAAATATATATATATATATATATATATATATATATATTTGTTTAAAAACTATTAATGATGTATTTAAAGTAATCTTTTTAAGATAAAATAATATTTTTTTATCCTTATTTTTTATTAAATGAATTGAATATGTTTTATGTGAATAAACAATAATAATGAGTCACTTAAAAATAATATATTTAAGGTAAAATGATTAATGCTTAATTAAATGTATTGAGTGACCTTTAACAGAGTGACCTCATAAATCATTTATTTATCTCTTTAATGAGAGTTAACTCCATTAAAGAATCTTCCAGGTCACACCATCAACCACACTACTCTTTGTGAAACCCTTCAAACAGCCAAAACCACTCCACCATAAGAAACTGGGGGAGTTACAAAACAAGGTCATGTTCCCCTACTGCAGCATCCATCACAGTGCAACCTGCACCCTCATTCTTCATCACTAATTCACCTGTGGGCTCCACCAATCACACATTTCAACCATGACAGTTACATCTTTGGCGAGGTAATTTCAAAATACACGGCACTGATAATACCATCTGTCGCAAAAACCAGAAGATGACTGTTTGATCTCTGTGTGACTCCCTAACGTGTCATCCATTTCATGTCCCTGATTTTGATATGGTCCATGCATGAATTCATGGCTTTATTATACTCACAAAGTTACAAAACAGAGGTCCCGGATTTTTACCATAGCTTCTCGTTTCAATGAAATTTTTTCTCTATATAAACCCTATACACTGAGGGTAATCACCACAAACAACTCTCTCTAGCTTCTTCCATTTCTAGCTTCTACCATTTCTTGCTTCTAGCATCTTAGCTTCTAGCATCTCTAGCTCTAGCATCTCTAGCTTCTAGCATAAGTCCTTTGTTTTTGTGTTTTTTGTTTCTCACCCTTTTCTTGCTCTCATGGCTGCCTCTGTTGACCCACTTGTTGTGGGTCGCGTAATTGGTGACGTCGTAGATATGTTCATCCCATCAGTCAGCATGTCCGTGTACTTCGGATCCAAGCATGTGACTAATGGGTGTGACATAAAGCCATCCATTGCAGTCAACCCTCCCAAATTGACTCTTACTGGAAACATGGACAACCTTTATACCTTGGTAATGTGTTAATCCATGTTATAACCACATTATAAACCATGTTTAAGAACCTTCTTCTTCTGCTAGATCTCACATGCAAGCCCCATTTTCATGTATTTTCTGTCTCTTTTTCAATTTGCATGCAGGTTATGACGGATCCTGATGCACCAAGCCCCAGTGAACCAAGCATGCGTGAATGGATCCACTGGTCCGTGAATTTGTTTAAAATTTTTTCTTTATTTTAACATTTTATATATATATATATATATATATATATATATATATATATATATATATATATATATATATATTAAGCTGATGTGTTTCCTGTTTTAATTTTTAGGGTTGTGGTAGACATTCCTGGTGGGACAAACCCCTTTCGTGGTAAGAAAAACAAGAAATAAATGAATAAGCATTTCATTCTTTTCTTTTTTTGATAAAAAAAAGATTTTTTATCTTGCATGCACGAGATCTGGTTCAGTTTTTTTTTTAAAATGTGGTAGAGAAAATCAATTTATCTTCAGATCTGCTTCATTTTAGCATTTTTATTTTCTATTGTGTGATAAAAAAGTTCAATTGTGATGTTGCATGCATTTGTAACGGGTTCAGTTCTTCTTCTTTTTTTTTCTATCTTTTACCAGTGACCTGTCAAAAACCTTTTTGTGTTGATCTGTTTTATTTTAATATTTCTAATTTTTTCTTCTATATAAAACAGTTTGATCCTACTTCATGCACGTGTAACGGGGATTCAATTCTAAAACAATTTTGTGATGTGACATGAAAAATAAATTTTGCATTTTCCTCGTGCTCGAATGAGACATGAAAGATGCCATTCGAAAGATCAGATCTCAGAACATTTTCGTTGACTGGTCACAAAAATCTTAGACTGGGTTGTCTCAAAAATTTACATGCATGTACTTATTTAGGTTTCCCCCATGTTTCAGATTTTTTTTTCTGAAAAAATCACAGGATTTCAGAGTTAAGTCCTGGTGTGCTCACCATTTCAATTCCTCAAATGATTTTTCTACACCTGTATCAAAATTTGGATCCGATGTTCTTCGTCCTCCACGTGTCCTGCATGTTCCTGCTGTGAACACGTGTGTTACGGCAAATATTATCAAACTCGTGCTACCTTGATGAATTATTTTTCTAAAAACAATTTTTGATTATCTTTCTCATTGATTTATCCTTTTACCAAAGCATGCACCATTTTAGATAACAGGTGTTGGCTAGAGAATCTCGTGGTACGAGAACTTCACACGTGCCTCAATGTCTTGCATGTCACCAAAATGCACTGTTATTGTTTCAGAATTTCATCCCCACCTGTTCCAAAGAAAAAAACAAACTCAGAAATCTCACCAAGATTCAGTTCCCTAATTTTCCTACCTTCACCATGGAATTAACTCTAATTTATTGCAAACAATTATAAGTCTGAACATGCAAAAACAAGTAACACAAATCGTGTTGCGTGCAGGAAAAGAAATCGTGCCATACACTGGACCAAAGCCACCTGTGGGAATTCACCGCTTCATCTTTGTGCTCTTTGAACAGAAAGGACCAATGGGTCCAGTGGAGCAGCCAGAAAGCCGGGGGAACTTCAACACTCGCAAGTTCGCCAAGGACATGGACTTGGGTCTCCCTGTGGCCACAGTTTACTTCAATGCTCAGAAGGAACCTGCAACAAGGAGACGCTGAATCATCATCTTCTCTCCAGCTATGCATGACTTGGAATCTTTGGGAGACATCAACCCTATCTGCAATATCATCTCTGAGTGTCAGTGTGAAATAATGGTGGTAGAGGACGTGTCTGTAGTTACATAGTTGGCTAGGGTTTTCAGTGGTGCAGTCCATCTTCCCTACCTTTGTCAACTTTTTTTTTCTATTCACATGTCTCTCTTTTGGGTCTGCTTGTAATAATGATCGGTGTCTCTCTTTAACTTTATATAAAAACTTTAAATTGTTGCTGCGTTTTTTATATTTATATTGGTGTATTCTATCAAATTTATAGCTACAGAGGATATATTATCTCAACAATATAATAAGCTTTAAAATTCATATATAACCTCCCAACATTAAAAGTCTATTGATCTCACAAATGAAAATATCTTTTTACAAGACAAAAATATTGGGTTATTTTAGTTCTTCTATTGAATATTGTACATGAATGTACATCATGTGTAAACATTTACACATTTATTCATAATTACTTAAGGTAAATGTGCATGGGTACTTGTCTATTATATACCTAATTTGTAAATTTGAGTTTCATTAGCTGTAATATTAACTTAATCTCAAAGTTTAATTAAACAGAACATCTATATATATTTAATAAATTAATCTTAAATAAATTCATAATAATTCAATTTATTTATACTTTTAAATATTATTTATATATGTTGAAGTTATTTTTTTCTATGATACTCATATTAATTAGTTGTATTTCAATGAGTGAACTACATCTGAAATTAATATGTTTATGGATTTTGGAAGCTGAAGATAATAAAATTGAAAACAACTTTGAAACATTAAAAAAAATAAAAATTATATGGCATTAAATTGATCATGACAGTTTATCTAATAATAAATAGTTATGTTTTTCATGATAGACTCTGTCTTGAAAATACCATTTAATCATGAATTGCATAAACATAAAATTGAAGAATTCAACATAAAGTATTTTTAGGGTTTGCTAGAGTCACCTTAAAGTATTGATGATCGAGTAATGAAAGAAACTTTTAACAAAATTTTATTTTTTTTAAACTGTTTTAACTTTTAATTTTTGTTTCAGTTTTTATATATATATATAAATTTTCTTTTTCAATTTTTTTTTCTTTTATATCTTTTGTTGTCATAATTATTTATTATCTTTTATTTCTATATTTCTCTTTCTTACACTCATCTATCTTAAATTTGAACTTTAAACTCAATGTATTATGAATTCCATAATTTAATAAACTTTTACTTAATGAATTTTAATAAAAATTTAAAATAATAAAATAATTTAAAAGAACAAATTTTTATTTTTTATTTTATTTTCAACTTAAATAATTACATGCTAATTAAACTACAAAAGAAAAGTAAGTAAAATCTATCTTATATACTACCTAACATATTAGGTATGAAAGAACTCCCAAGAACAAACAATGACAGTGAGAAAAAAACAATATACAATGTGTACAATGTAAACATTAATATTATTAATATGATACTAGTCTATGCATATATCTACTATCTCCCAATTTGTTTCTCTCTTATTTTTCAAACAAATATAAAGCAGGGGATTGAAACTTACCTTTCAGAGTCTTATAATAACCATTGTAGATATTCTCACCTGCATCAGGATTCTTCAACTTGCATAATCTGTAAATCAATTATTGCATCTGCATATTATACATAATACAAGTTTGATAAATTCTGATATTACTTTCAAGGTCCCAGAGATAGATAGTAATCATATTATACTATTGTTGAATAATACTTAGAGATTCTAGAACTGCTAATATATGATATATCTTAGGAGTTAATGAATAAAACTTTTATTATTGCATCATAATCATTCTGATAATCTCTCTGTCTCAAGAAAAGATGAATCTTTCATTATCAGTAACGTGGTATACTGCAAAAAAAATAAATCAATGGAAGTACTAAAAAGCAAGTAAACATATAAAAGAAATCTAACATTGCCCTTAACATTAATATAATCTGCAGATCCATGATTATGTCTGGCTGACCCTCTGACATTGTTATCCAGGAATCCAAAATTGATCTGCATCAAAGCTTTCACTGTTATTTCTAAGGACAAAGATGCATGCAGTTTTAGAAGTGTCTGCAGAGTTCTTAATCCCTTCTACTTCTATAGAAATTTATCAGTCTCACCAACTAGTCCCATAAATGACCATTCCAAAAACCATTAGGTCATTGAAGGATATAATAGATCAAAATAGGCTAAAAGTAATGGACAATTAAAGGGATTAATACCATTAATTGGCAGTGAAAAAGAAGCACTGTTGGGTCTTGGGGGAGGAAGGGTGTTCCCCCAAGGTCCACCATAATTACTCTTCATGAGGAGAGTTTGTTGCTAAGTCTTTGTGTTTACTCAGCAGATCTAGTCAAGAAGAAGATGATACATTGTACATATTATCCTAAACTATCAGGAACTACCATCCAAAAAATAAAGGAAAACATAAACATAAAGTTACTCACAAGTACAAGAGAGAAAGAAAGAGAGAGGGAGCTTGAGTTTTCACTGTGCTTGCAGGTTATGAAGAGAGAAGATGATAATATTTTTACTTTTAAACAAAAAGAATTACATATTTACAAACAAAATTTACGCTAGCTTATCATCTTTTGAACATTAAAAAATTGGGAAGTTACACAACATTAATTATAAATGAAAAAAAAAAAAACTTCTTTGAGATCTAACTATAATATATATATTTTTTTTAAATACCCCTTGTCACGACATACAAATCTTAAAAATTTAGAAAGACAAAATTGATCCACCAGATAAAGTGTCGAATTCTGAGAAATGAATATAATGGACAATATTTGATGAAGACTCATAGGTATTGAGATCTGACAAACCAAATGAAATAATAGAAAAAAGGAAGAAGAATATAAGCATTCATAAACTGAAAACAGAGGTATAATAAATTGATTGCCTCAGAATGTGAGAGTCTAAATAAATCTTGATATCTTCAAAAAAAAAACAGTCAAATTACTGCTAAAGTCCGAAATTGTAGTTCAATTAAAGGTTTATAAGTTGAGTTTTTTTCTTGGATTTCAAGTTTATTAGAGAATTACCAAGAAAAAAAAAAACAATTTTCATCAGTAGATCAGCATTGTCCACATAATTTTCTTAATCAACATCTGCATAAGTTTTGAGTTTGAGGTCAAATTTCAGAAAAGAGAATACCTCAAGGAGTGATTTCCAAGTACTGTAGAAGATGGTGAACAACATCTAGATGAAGAGTATTGGAGTAGATATGAAATTACTTAGTTTGTGCACAAAAAACATGTACAGGGTCTTGAGCTAGAAAATTAAGTGAGTTTCTCAATCAATCTCTGTCCATGATATTTTAGAGTTGGTGTTGGTATAATTCACAAGAAACTCCAGTATTTATGGTTTCTTTTTTTCCTTTTTCAATCCTAATTAATCGATCGAAAAATTTGAAGAGACTAACCGATTTCATTTTAATTGACACATATTAGAAGCATTGATCTTACCATAAAAAAAAGTAATCACTTACCTAGATTTCTCTTCATCTGCCAATGATAAGCACCTACTTGAAGAAGACTTTTCAATAGATTTATTCTTTGATTCGAATAGACGTTGCAATTAGGTCAGAGAAGCTTCAAAATTGGACCTTCACCATAATTTTTCTTCATTTAAGAGTGTTGGAATCAAATGAAAAATCTTGAATTCACAGAAACCTAAAAGAGGATTATAAATTTCTTGCTAGATTTTTTTTTATTTTTTTTAATCTCATCACTCAATAACACTCTCGTAATCTTATCAATTTAAGTCATGCTTGATTTTTAGGAAAAAAATCATGACATTGTACAAATCTTAATGGGCTTGGGCCTAATACAAAGGGTCAACTTTGCACATGGACTTGTTCATGTCAACCCTATAAAATATTATAAACAATAATTAAACACTATAACTTTTATCCAAACAAACATAAACAAACAACCTTATATGTAAGTTTATTTTTATTTTGCAAAATCTACTTAACATTAAACTCTTTTAACTCACAAAGTTTATTTACTTTTGCAATGACTACTTAAAAAATAATATTAACTCTAATTTGTTATTGCATAGCTGAATAAAATTTGTCATTAATTAAACTCAGTTATTAGTATGAGTGAAATCTATTTTTTAAGTAAAATTGTGGATTCAAATATTTTATAAAAACAAGATGTAGTTGAAGGAGAAACTCCATTAAATATGATCATTTAAATTATTTGAATATATATATATATATATATATATATAATTTCTTTAAATATTACGTAATAATATATGTTACAAAAAATAAGAAACTTAAATAAAAATTAATATTTTTTATCATATATGATAAATAATGATTGAATGAAAGATAAAATATTTTTTTTTCTTTTTAACTATCTACATTTATCTCTATACATACACCATCATACAAAAGGGAAAAAAACCTTATAGCTACTCACAAATTAAGAATGAATTTATGGTATTCAGTTTCTGACACTACTCATGCAAGACATTTTGCACTCTAGATCTTGATTCTTGTGAAACCCTAATTTCAAAATTTGTGAAGTTTGATATCTCTAAGAAGAAGAAGAAAGGAGAGAGAGTTTGGACGTACCGATTATGAGCAACAACAGTATAGTGTATATATATATTTAGAGAGAGAGAGATGGATATGGTGAGAACAAAAGATTTTCATGCTAAACATTGTGAAGCAAACAAGTCCTGGCAGCCACTCGATTTCGCTGTCTTTCCGACCTTGAAAACAAATGCATGAATGGAGAGAGAAAGTGCAACGATTTCATCATGTAAGCAGAAGAAGTTTTTGAGTGTGTTGTAAGGTCAAAAGCTGAGAAAAAAAAAATGTCTAAGCATGATGACGGAAAAGATACAGCAGAAGTTGTAAACATAGAAGGAGTCATCAAGGTCGAACAGACAACGAGATAGAGATGAAGCTAGCAAGAGTGTTCACTTGACAAAGAAAAGCATGAAAAGCAGTCACCAGCAGAGATGGATGAGGTGAAAATGAAGGTGTGAAGAAGAGAGGAGTTTGAGATGGGGAAAGAGATGATGAGGTGGAAGTGTATAAATAGGAGTGCAATGAGATGTAGCAGATGACTAACCAGCAAGCTTGACTTTCAGGTATCTGTCAATGTAACAACTATGAAAGATTTGAACATGCAGACAATGGCAGAGAGAAAAAGAGGTAGATACAAGAGTTTCTCTTGACGTTGAAGAGTAAATGAAAGCAACTCATATCCACCTACTAGATAGCCTACCAAATTGTTTAAGAATCATGTCATCACTCACTACAATCATTTTTCAACCCTCAATTTTTATTATTAACATTTTCAAATCAACATTTTAATATGATGTGATACATTATTTCTGTCAGTTACTTTTCCTGAAAAGAGAGAAAAAAGTTACCTTTGAATAATGTACTTTGTCTTGGTTTATATTTCCCAATATATTTTTTTATTATTATTTCATCATTCAAATATTCAGATAGCATATAATTTCGGACATTGCCTATTTTAGTTCACACAAAACTTGAACAAAAGTACAAGCAACATTCTATTTTATTTATTGGAATTTTATGGTGCAATGATGTAAAATGTCACAGCTGTTCTACTAGTGCATATTCCACTTTTGCTTATTTAAAAAAAAAATTGTTAAATTTGAACTTTTATATAAAAATTTATGCTTGTCAATTTTTTTAAAAGTACTTTTGGAGAACTTAGTCACTTATTTTGCTTTAGTAGAAATGTAATTTGTAGGATAAAATATATGTTTAGATTAATAGTTTAAATTTGTAAAAAAATTTATAAAATACTTGTTGTTTAGATTTTTTTTTAATGAAACATGTATCGACTTTTATACTCGTATAAAAATTTAATTTGATTTTTATATATTTTTTTCATTTAGTATTCTTCTTATTTCTAATTTTAGTAAATTAATTTAATTTTACGATTAATTTAAATTAGCATTTAAACTAATGGTAAAATTAAAATACGATAACATATCAAAATCTAAAATTTATTTCTTAATTATTTATTTGTCTCAATTATTAGAATATATATAAACTAACAAAAGAAAATAAAATTCCAATTTTATTCTAATAATATTGAATTTTCCGTGCATTAGTTAAATTAGAAAGATAGTTAATAAATCTTGGAAATTTTAAGATTATGAATCTTAAATTTCATGGAAAAAAACTAAAACTGTATGCAAATTAAAGTATTTTTCTAATATTTACTCTAAGCTATTTATGTAAAAAAAATATTGTTAGATGAAAGGAAATATTAATTTATTTAGACAAAGGGGTGAAAATATAAAAATATATTTCTTAATTTGAAAAAAATTAATAATAAAGTTTTCAACAACAATGCAATGTTATTTTTTTCTGCTAATTTAGATATTAATGTACTTTTGTGAAAAATACTGATATGTTATTATTTCACTTGTAATGTATTTATATATAAATATCAACGTGTAACATAAAATTATATTATTTCTTAATAAAAGTTGTTTTTATATTAAAATATATACACACAAAAATTGATTTGTTTTTCTTTTAATGAACAATTAAGGAAGTAATTCACTTTCGTCCCTAAATAATTGTAATTCTGTCAAATAAAAAATGGGTCAAATTTTATGTTAAGCAGAGAATTGCTAATTAATAAATGTAAAATTTTCTATGTAAAAGATATTACAAAATTTAAAGAGAAGACAAAATAAATGATAAATATTTTCAAAATAATGTTAAAATATATCTATTTTATAAGATGATTTGTTGAAATTATATACTCATCATATAATAAATAAAATATATAATAGACATGCTTAATAAAATAAAAATAATATATAATATTTTTTAAATTTAAATAAAATAATAATAAAATCTTCTAATATCGGTTACATTTAAAAACCATGAACATGTTCAAGTGAGAAAAAAAGTCACTTTTATATTTTTACTTTTTAATTATATATAAATACAAAATATAAAAATAATATTATTTTATAAAATTATCATTAATTAAATAAATAATTATATATATATATATATATATATATATATATTATAACGTGTCACAGTAATTACATTGAAACCTAAAATATTTAATGATATAAATATATTATATCTTTAAATATTAAAAAAAAAATACTATCTCTTACAAGTATTTTTAAATAAAATAATTGAAATAGAAAACTTCTTTTACTCTTTCTCAAGCAACATAACATGTTAACGATGAGGATCAACATTTACAAATTAAGGTAAATTAATAATAATTTTTTTTATATAATTATTATAAAATCCACAATATCTACATCATAAATAAATAAATGAAATATTATATTTATTAAATGTTTAATCTCTAATTCGATAAATTAGATGTCATGTTATCATATTTATATATATATATATATATATATATATATATATATATATATATATTAACACTTGACACATATTATTTTATGTATAATACATATATTATAATATCTAAGTGATATACATATCATTTATCATATTACAACAATAAAATTATCGTTTGAATTTGACTTTTGTTTATTCCTTTAATTATAACTTTATAAACAAATATATTTTTTGGTTAAATTTTATTTTATTGAATTTCTTATATATAAAAGACAAATTTTCTTATTTAAATGAAAATTTATTCATTTGAATGAAAAGATAATTGAGACAAACTTCATTCCACTATAAGTTTTTTTGTGTGAGGGAGATATTTTTGCTTGAGTGAAAATACACCTAAGAATAATCATTTCCTCTACTACACATTTCGCTTAAACAATCAGTTATCACTTCAACAAAAAACGCAAATAAAAAACCAATATAGTTCAGTGTTAAACCACTTCATAAGCATTAAACATTATCATTTGAGACTCTATTGTTCAATTTTCTTTTAAAATATGTCATATATAATATAAATATAATTATCATACCCTAATATTTTACACACATCACTATTTTAAGTCAATTCATTTAATCACAATTTTAAAAAATATCACCAATAATCAAATTCATGCAAATCAAACAATATGATCAAGTCAGATCTTCTAACATATAGTAATATGAAAATTAAAAAATAACAAATTTTCTTTACCTTTTAATTTCAATATCCTCAAGCTTAAAAGTCCAAAATCTCAAATTTCTTAGGAAGTTAGATTCTTCTCACATAAAATTTCAACTAACAACTTAAATATTCTTAAACTAATCAATATTTATTTTTACGTGACAAAGTTATATGGAAGATTCATATGTAAAACCTTAGTCCAAATTTGTTAAAAACCTCTAAAATTTGAGAAATAAAATAATTATCTATTTAAAATTTTGATAAGATGGAAATATTCCTCTCACAATAATATACTTAAATCTATAAAATATATGAGAATTAAATAAAGAGTTTTAAAAAAAAGTGAGAGAATTTAAAGTTAGGAATTAAATGAGAAATTTTCAATAAAGAGTATAGTTAGATCTATAAAATATATGAGAATTAAATAAGGAATCTTTAAAAAGAAATGAGACAATTTAAAATTAGGAATTAAGTGAAGAATTTTCAATAAAGAGTAAGAGGATTTGAAGTTTTAAGATGCTGTGATTCCTTAAAAATGAGAATTAAGAGATAATGATTTTTTATTTAAATAAATAAAAATCGAAATTTCAAATTTTATTTTATTTATCTATAATTTTTTATTAAAATATTGAAGTCTAGTTCCTTATTTATAAATTTTTAATTTTTTTATATAAATTAATTAAATTATTTAATATATTATTAATATGATATTATTTTATTTTTTAAACTATATATAATTAAAAAAATAGATATTAGTTTAAAAGTGTTAATTTTAAAAGTTATTTAATTCATAAAAAGAAAATATTTATAAGTAATTTTATAATTAAATTAACTATTTAATTATAATTTAATTATTTATTTTAAATTAATATTTTTTATATCACGTTTTTCTCAAACAAACGATAACAACTTTCACTAAATTTCATTTATCTTTTATATTATTTTATTTTCTTTAATTTTCCTTTCTCATATACCTAACATACATAAGTAAAATTATAATGACTCGCATGATTTATAAACAGTGAAAATAACAATAAGAAACTAAATAATTTTATTTCTATTTTGAACTAAATGTAACGAGTGTCATCATGAATAGTGACTTTAAAAATTTACGAATCTTTTTTAGTTCGTTTTAAATTTTAAATTGTATTTGAATTTTATAGACATGATAATCATAAATTATTATTTGGTTATTTGAAAGGAAACTTCTTCGTTTACTTACATTGAGAAGAGAAGGATTCAAAACACGTATTGAAAAAAATGTTGAATAAAAAAAAAAAAAAAGTGGAAACATCCTTTACAAAGTGATGAACATGCAAGGGAACTTTTATGAAAAAATGATGGAAGGGTTTTTTTCTAAGTCATTGAAGAACAAATATAAAATAAACATGATAAACAAGCTTAAGAGTGGCATTGAGATAATTATATTAGGTTAACCCATTTTAACTTTTTTTTTTTTTTTACAACATAGTGATTTAATAAATTTGACCCAGTGAAAAAATGAATATTATTTTTTAATAATTAAATAAATACTGTAACTTTCAATAAAAAATCATTTGAATTATTGATTGAATTTGGGGATTAAAAAACTAGTAATTTAGGTCAATATGCAACTAATGAGTTATATAATTACACTTTGAAGATCTTAAATTTGGATTGATGAATAGATTTTATTTATTTAATGGCTATAATTATTAACATAAGATGTTTAAACGATGAACGGAGCGTCGTGGTATGTCTGAAACAGAGCTTGGTGGGTTAAGACATCGTGCTCTGCAACACTCTCTCTGTCTTCCACTTTTTCACTCAAACCACAAAGAAATCGCTTTCAGAAGAAAAAAATGAGCCACGAGCTGCAAGAGACGTATGCGTGCATGCCCACGACGGAGCGCGGCCGCGGGATTCTAATCTCCGGCGACGCCAAGTCCAACTCCATCGTCTACACCAACGCCAGATCGGTGGTCATCATGAACATCCAGAACCCCCTCCATGTCTCCGTCTACGGGGACCATGCCTACCCCGCCACTGTCGCGCGCTTCTCCCCCAACGGTGAGTGGGTCGCCTCCGCCGACGCCTCCGGCACCGTCAGGATCTGGGGCACGCGAAATGACTTCGTCTTGAAGAAGGAGTTCAGAGTACTCTCCGCCCGCATCGACGACCTTCAGTGGTCCCCCGACGGCCTCCGAATCGTTGCCTGCGGCGAAGGCAAAGGGACGTCCTTCGTCCGCGCTTTCATGTCAGTTCTCCGACAAACTTCTAGAACCTTCTCGAACGTTCTCTGTGTGATCTACTCTGTTTGACTTCGTTTGACTTTAAGATCTCTTGTGTTGATAATGTTGTTTTACTCTTGGATGAAGGTGGGATTCAGGGACCAATGTTGGAGAATTTGACGGTCACTCGCGCCGGGTTTTGAGTTGTGCATATAAACCCACTAGACCTTTTCGCGTTGTTACCTGTGGAGAGGATTTTCTGGTTAACTTTTATGAGGGACCTCCCTTTAGATTTAAGCTGTCTCACAGGTATGTGTTGTGTGTTAGTATGAGAAATACACTTTACGAAATGGTATTGTAGGCATCGCTTACACTGTGCATTTGTGTATGAAGCAGAAAGAATGTGATCTTTTGAGACAGCTGAGAACATTTTTTCTCTGAAAGTAGCTTCTGTGCTACTCTTTGTTTTGAAAAAGATGAAAACGTTTCCTATGTATAGTCTTACTTTAAAGGGTTTTTAGATGGAATAAAAACTGTTGCATATTGCTATAAGTTTGTTCTTGTCTTTGGAACTGATATCGTGATAATTTGGTTATGTGTAGGGATCATTCAAATTTTGTGAATTGTGTAAGATATTCTCCTGATGGCAGCAAATTTATAAGTGTAAGTTCTGACAAAAGGGGTTTTATATTCGATGGAAAGAGTGCAGAAAAGATTGGTGAGTTGTCTTCTGAAGGTGGGCATACTGGAAGTATTTATGCTGTTAGCTGGAGTCCTGATGGAAAGCAGGTGAGCTAACTTCTGAGTATTTTTTATTATTTATGGCAAAGACCCTTATCCCCTGATGTACTGTGATAGAAATTTGGTGTCTTATTAAGCAGAAATAGGGTAAACCTCAATTCCGAAGATAGAAGGCTGCACCTTCCAATTCTCTCTCAGATAACAAGATAACTTCCTCCTAACCTCCCCTGTAATTTATGGACAGAAAACCTTATTTCTTTAACCAACAAATCATCAAACAAACTACTCTTTTTTTTTAACTAAGGGGTATCTGACCCCATTTTCTCGTCGATATCTCCTTTTCTCCTCTCCCTAATACATAATGATTGGTAACTTTCTTTTCTTTATGAAATTAACTTATTGCAATACTTCAAACTTTGCTACGCGTGTATGACATTTTTGTATTAGTTGCTTCTTTTTAATACTATGAATAAACTTATAAACATACGATAAAGTAAAACACATGAAGTGAAAATGGTGAGTTATTTTTCTCTTACTTCTGGTAGCCAGCCAGACATATTTTTTTTTCCCTGATGTTCCTCTGTAAGTGATGCCTTTCATGCACGTTTTAGCATTTTGTTATAACTTAATAGTTTATTTTGTTATCTCGTTTTGTGGGAAAAAAGAATTCCATCTTGTTTAGAAGGATCTCATATGTATAAACATTAAGTTGTAATGTTATCTTGCTATACATGTTTGCAATTTTACTTCTAGATGTTGTCTTGCTATACATGTTTTTAATGCTTGTACTGTTTGTAGATTTCTTAGGCATGTTAGGTACAATTTGGATAGTTCAATGTTGTGTTGTACTAGTAAACTTTTGAGTGTGTAGTAAAACAAACAGCTGTATTTGCAGATTTGTTAGTTTTTTCCTCCATTTCTTACTTGTCTGTTTTTGTGCAAGCCCCTTTTCTCCTTTTCAATACAACTCTGCAATGCACATTTTGAGTAATAACAATCTGATATACAGTTGTAATGTTGTCCGTAGGTGCTAACTGTATCTGCTGATAAGTCTGCAAAAGTATGGGACATATTTGAAGACAATAACGGAAAGGTGAAGAAAACATTGACTTGTCCTGGCACTGGTGGAGTTGAAGATATGCTAGTGGGGTGCCTATGGTTGAATGATTATCTTGTCACTGTTTCTCTGGGTGGAACAATATCTATATTTTTAGCAAGTGATCTTGATAAAGCCCCGACAGCATTTTCTGGACATATGAAAAATGTTTCCTCCTTATCTATTCTTAGAAGTAACCCTAGAGTGCTCTTGTCTAGCAGTTATGATGGCTTAATAGTTAAGTGGATTCAAGGGATTGGATATAGTGGAAAACTACAAAGGAAGGAAAGTTCTCAAATCAAAGGCCTAACAGCTGTAGAAGAAGAGATTGTTACATCTGGATTTGATAATAAGGTGAATGTTTTGCCTATATTCTTTGCTAATATGAGAATGATAATCTTTATGCTAAAGTTTACTCAATTTCCATCTCCTCCATTAGTCAAGAAATCTTTGATGCTTGTCATTTGCATTTAAATAATAAATTTTGTGTGAAATAAATTATTCATATGGCAACATCCATATTAGTAGTAAAGTTTCTGACAGGGTATGGGGCTGGATTAGAAAATAGTTGGAATAGGACTTGAAACAATTGATGGATTTGGGACCAAGTGCAAAGAAGACTTTGATTTGGAAGTTTATTCCAGAAGGCAACAATGGGGAATAGGTTGAAGAATTGGTTCCAGTGACGTGGCAAATTGGTTAGGGCCAAGTAGCTGAAAAATATAGGGAGGAAGACGAGTGTGTGAGAGGCATGGTTGGATAATTGCAATACTTGTGGAGAATAGCTTTCTCTGAGGAGCCTGAGGCTCTGGCTAAGTTCCTTTGTAAGAGATTTGGGCCAGTTGCTCTGGTTGATTATTTGTTACTTAATCAGTTTTGTGCTCGGTCTTAAATTGAAGGCTGTTGTGACTACATACATTTGTTCCATCCAATGTATTTATGATCCACTGATGATGTAAGGACCACATTTCTCCCCGACGCATTCTATTGAATTTGGTAAATGGTAACATTAACAACTGCTACGCTAAGTGGGAGATGTTCTTCAATTAGCATTCTAGTTATTTGTCTTGGTATTAACTGGAAAGATCAATTTTGCTTACTCTTTTATATGTCTATTGTTCCTGGAAAGAGATTTAAGAAATCTTTGTTTATGCTTACATCATGATATCTTCATACCTGTTGTAGTGCTGTTAGAAAGCCGTGCAGCAACTGCAACATCGTTCTTCATTCATAGTACTTTTATGCTAAGATATGGGCAAATTGGTCTTATTGGAGGGTAGGAAATTTTAAGGCATCTGCAATATATAAATATTATGGAGAAGTGTTGGTTTCTTCCTCTGATCCGTCCACTTTCTTTCTCTTTTGGCAACCAGATAAGGCGAGTTTCTTTACATGGGGATCAGTGTGGAGATGCTGAGGCCATTGATATAGGAAGTCAACCGAAGGATTTAAGTGTTGCACTTCTTTCTCCTGAGCTTGCTCTAGTTTCAATTGATTCTGGAGTTGTCATGCTGCGTGGTACAAAAATTGTGTCAACCATTAATCTGGGGTTTATTGTGTCTGCATCTGCTGTCTCACCTGATGGAAGTGAAGCCATTATCGGTGGACAGGATGGTAAATTGCACATATATTCTATTTCTGGTGATACTCTTGTAGAAGAGGCTGTCGTTGAGAAACATAGGGGTGCTGTTAGTGTCATACGTTACTCTCCAGATGTTTCAATGTTTGCATCAGGGGATGTCAATCGAGAAGCTATAGTGTGGGACCGTGCCTCCCGGGAAGTAAGTACAAATTTGAACTTCGATAGCCAAAGTATTACACTTAATGCTTTCTATCTAATGCGCTTATTTTGCTTTTGGATGTGTAAGTAAGAATTTTTTGTGGCATTACTTATATAATTGTTTCAAAACATCCTTTTTCGCAGGTGAAGCTGAAGAACATGTTGTATCATACTGCTAGGATAAACTGCCTTGCATGGTCACCTGATAACCGTAGGATTGCTACAGGATCGCTTGACACGTGTGTCATTATATATGAAGTTGATCAGCCTGCATCTAGTAGAATTACCATAAAGGGTGCTCATTTAGGTGGGGTTTATGGCTTAGCATTCACTGACGAGTATAGTTTGGCTAGCTCAGGTGAGGATGCTTTTATCCGTGTATGGAAGATAACCCCTCCTTGACTGATCAAGGTCAACTTGGAAGAGAAGTGAAAGTGGGAAAATATTTGTTAGATTTCAAATTTCTTCCTTTAGAAGGCTTCTAAAATCAAGACTAATGAGGATATACTTATCATCATAAGTTGGTCTTATCACATTCCTGTTTCAAATTTCAAGTCTTGGTTTGGTTGTCACTGGGTTTGACATTGCCAGAATAAAGTTGGTTCATTTTCTTCTTGTTTTTTATAAATAGCTGCTTTTTGTGAGTTTCGATATCTAAATTTTGATGGTACCAGTGTACATCACTATTTGTCTTGGTTTGCTCTGGATAAAACCAATTTATGATACCAAAGATTTTTAGTAGTTGTGCCAATTGTCAAAAGAATCTTATCGTGTACATTACAGGGAATCAATATGGATATTGAGTTTTTGTGTTGAAGTGTTGATAGATTAGAGAACACAGACAACAATTTCTTCCAATTCAAAACATCGCTTTGGAGGATGTACTCAATCTGCCGCCCCTGTTTAAAGCAGATTGATTGTAATGTTTGTTTGAAGTGGAATGCAGTTGTGTATGTTTGTCATTTTATTTGATTGTGACACTCATTGTTAGTTTCTTAGACAACTCTGGTTAAAGATGCTTTAGCCTGTTATTTATCTTCTTTTTAACTTTATTCATTGGCATTGAGATGTTCACGGTTTAGTTTAGATTTGTATTAAAAAATTATTCAAAATTTAAGTACGATTTGGTTTGACTCTATCAAATTAATATTTTCTAATTGGATTTTAGTAATTTTTATGATTTTTTATTATAGATTCATTAAATATACTATAATAAAATAATTATTTAATAAAAATATATTATTAAAATATTATATATAATTAATTATAATATTCATAAGTTTAATTTATTTTTATATAATTTACATTTAAATTAAAAATAACAATATATTTAACGAATTATAAAAGGTTAATAAATTTATGTAATTATTTTATATTCAAATTTTAGTAATATATATTATAATTATAATTTCTTTTTATTTAATTTTTCATTATTTAATTCAATAGATTGATTTTAAAATTTTTTATTTACAAATTAAGATAACAAATCAAGAATTTTTTACTAAAATAATATTATTATAATATATATACACGTAATAGAACCTCTCATAACATTGTTTACTTAACTGGACCTCTTCTCCTGTTGCATCTGAAATTCGATTTTTAGTATCATCGAATTCTAACTTTAAACTTACCACTTTTTTAAAATAAATTATATAAAAATAATAAAAATAATATTAAAATAAAATTTTAATTTTAAAATTTAAATAATATTTATATATAAAATAATACAAATAATATATTATTTAAATATATATTAAATTATCTAAATATATTTAAATAATTATTAAAAATAATAAATAATAATTTTTTATTATATTTATATTTATTTATTTATTTATTTTTGAATAGAAAATTTAAAATTTATATATTTTTTAATTATATGAATTATTTAAGTTATAATTTTAGAAAAAATTGATAAATTTAATATATAAAATATTAAAAGTAAAATTAAAAATAAGTTATTAGTAGCAAAATAAAAATTATAGAACAAGATATTAAAGAAAAATAAACTTATTGAAATAGAAATAAATGATAAAACATACCTTGTAATTGAAAAATGATTAATTATAAAAGACATACATAGAAATTGAAATGACTTAAATGAAAATGAATTAAAAGAACTCTATTGACGAAATCCAAAACGTAATAGACGTTGTTTTCGTTGTAGGATCTGGACACCACTTTGGAGATTAAAATTTTCTTAACATTATTGTCAATAATTTTATTTTTCAATTTTTATTATCAATGATTATGTTATTTTTAATATTATATATTAAATTACTGTCAATTTATATTATTTTTTATTTTTAAGTTTATTTTATATTAATAATAATAATTTTTAATTAATTAAATAATATTTTACTTTATTATTTAAAAAAATTAATTTTAGCATGATTTTTTTAATATAATATTTATAATTTATCAAATAAAAACTATTACATAAATTTTTATAATATAATATTTTATTTTTTAATATATTACCTAAATTAAAATTTATTTATTCTTTTTTATTTTTTTTAATTATAACTTAAATAATTCATATAATAAAAAAATATATATTTTAAATTTTCTATTAAAAAAAATATAAAAAATATAATAAAAAAAGTATTATTTAATATTTTTAATAATTATTTAAATATATTTAAATAATTTAATATATAATTAAATAATATATTTTTTATATAAATATTATTTAAATTTTAAAATTAAAATTTTATTTTTAATTATATATTTTATTTAATTTTTTATTTAAATAAAGGTAGTAAGTATAAAGTTGAAATTCGATTCCAAGTACAATAATAAAATATTTAATTTCATACAAAATTTAGTAAACAGGTTTTTTTACGTGTATATATATATAATATAATAATATTATTTTAATAAATAAAAAAAGTCAACTAATCAATGTTAATTAATGTTTTATTTTAAATTCTTATATTTTCACGGGCCTATCGTACTGGTCGTACTTTGGGCACAAAGCATTCTGATTCTCAATTTTACACTTTTATTTTATTAAATTGTGAAGATCAATTGTTCTTAATCGAGATAGGAGGTAATTTTTGGATTTTTACAAATCTTGTCGCATTAAAGCAAGTATTTTTTTCCTTTTTAAATGATCAATCTTCTAAGTAATTGTATAAAAAAATATTTCAAAAAGCCCCATCTACGCTGGAATTAATTTTAAGGATACTTAGAAGTTGATAAACAATACAAAATCACATTGCCAAAAAACCTGTTGCGTAAAGACTTGAAGCCAGCCAATTACGCGAGGGTGCAGAGATTTAGTATTTTTATTCATTCGAAAACTAAAGTTTTTACATTGAAAATCTTCATATTAGAAATAAAAAATAAGAATAAAATCGAACAAAACAAAAGCTTCCATACTTTCCTGTTAGGTAACTGCAGTGTACCTGTAATAAATACTATCACAACCTAGTTTAGAACTGGATCACAAACCAATCTTGCAATAAAACAATACATCATCATGGTTCATTCATCGTTTAAAAAAATTGGCAAATCGAAGCTAAAGAATGATCAATCCCAACGTACAAAATAAGCAGCACAACGTAAAACCATAAAAAACATTAAAGCACAATCTCAATTTAATGTAACAGAAACTCAATGAACTCCCAGACAGTCTTTCAATTTTAGTTCCTTAAAATTTATCTCAATTATAACGACAATGTTGCTTTTACTCCCAACTTGAGAAAGAAGTCTTCATTAAACACAAAAATAACTTAATCAAACATTAAAGACTTGGGGATAACTAACAAAAAAATGTTACAATCGACAGTATGTTTATTATGAATGACACAGTAATATATGGTAATATAATGAGTTGTCATTCTTCTAAAAATGTAGACAGTGGAGGCACTCTTTTAATTGACCCATTTTCCGAAGTAGAGATAATATTGGTAAATAGAGGAAAAGCATGTTGAAATATCCATATAACAAAAACGACGTTTCAAAAATAAATAAAAGGCCTCAAAGCCACGGTCTTGAACATAAAAATCAATTCTACAGTAAAACAGTAACGTTGTCCCAAAACTCAAAGCTGCTGTCTGAAAACACTAAAAGCTTAACCTAATAACGTCCAATTGCCCAGACTCTGACCACGCCGTCTGTATAACCACTAAACAAAGTGCTTCCATCTGCACTCCAGTTCAAACTAGTGCAATAGATAACCTGCAGGATAGTCAATACAATTCACAAAAGTCAAGCAAAACATCAACATATCATACAAAGTCTTGGAAATTCTATAAATATAATAACTACTAACATACAAATAAATCCACAAGAGTTTTGTAATAGAATTTGTTCCAACGACAGTCCAATTAAAAAGAAAATATTTTCATATCAATGGAATTTCAGAAGATGGTTAAACAAAATTCTCCAAAGAAAATAGACCACAAATTAGAAGAAATTCATAAGTAAAATACATACATGACGAACATCTATATACAGGTAAAGTGTATGTTGTAAATAAACAAAACTATAGACATATATTGTAAACATCCCATAAATTGCAAATTAATACAAATAAAAAAGAACAAACGAACAAAAGGAACACATAATCTAAATCCATATATAACACTAGAGTATGATAAGTATGATGAGTATAAGCAATGAGATTTCATTACTAAATGTATAAATCAAAACAAGATTCAATCGAAAAATCGAAAAACAAAATACCTTCTTCTTGTTGGTGTTTCCTCCAGTGGTGGCATCAGCCTCAGTCTTTAGGTCAACCTTCAAATCCTCAACAATACTTTTGCTCTCCAAATCCCAGATCTTGATGCTCTGTTCAGTGGCCGCGCACAGCCAGTACCTGTTGGGACTGAAGCAGAGCGCATGGATAATAGAGCCAGCATCAAGGGAGTAAAGACGCTTACCCTCAGCCAAATCCCACAGCAAAATAATTCCATCTTTTCCACCACTGGCACACAGAGACCCATCAGGGGAAACAGCAACGGTATTCACGTACCCACTGTGCCCAGCAAGGGTATTTCTCAGTTTACAGTTTGTGAGGTTCCACACCTTCACAGTGCGGTCCCATGATGCAGAAACAATAGTAGGCTGATGCGTGCTAGGGCTGAAACGCACACAACTAACCCAATCAGAGTGAGCATCGCTGTCTTGAATGGTGTATTTGCATTCACCGAGGGTGTTCCACAGCTTGATGGTGCGGTCACGTGAGGCAGACACGATCTGACGGTTGTCAATGGAGAACGCGACGGATAGAACGTCCTTGGTGTGGCCAACAAAGCGGCGGGCGGAAGTGCCGGCAGCAAGGTCCCAGAGGCGGAGCTCGCCGTCCCAGGACCCGGAGAGGGCAAACTGGCCATCTGACGAGAGCACGACATCCTGGACAAAGTGAGAGTGACCGGTCAAACGGCGGCGGGGGACACCGTAGGTCTTGTCCTCCTTTGTGAGATGCCATAAGATGATGGATTTGTCGCGCGAGGCGGTCACAATCATGTCGGAGTTGTCAATGGGTGTGGCAATCGCCGTAACGACGTCGGTGTGGGCGCGCATGGTGCCGCGGAGAACGAGACCCTCTGCCATTTTTGTCTCGCACGAACACAAACACAGAGAAATGAGATAACTAGGGTTTTCGAGTTCCCTTACTCTGTGAAAGGCTTTTGTGTTTCTAAGCCACGCTTTGGCTCTCGCGAAAGAATATATAGTGAGAAGATAACCTGATTAGGGTTTTGGGATGGACAGAACAACTTTTCTTCTTTTTTCCTTTCGTCATGTGCTACTGTTTCAGTTTACTACAGGCCCAATTAGTAGTATGACCCAATGGACCCAAAATCATAAATTAAACAAGTGCAAAATATTGTTTCTAATGCACATAGCACATATATTTATATTTATCTGTGCAAGTGTATTTATTTTAATTTACATCAGACTCACATTTATATTCTAATAAAAAATAAAATAATTTTATTGTCAAAAATATATATTATTTCATAAAAATATTATCTACTTAGTTTCCTAATGAATTTAATATTTTGAATTTATAGTTAAATTTATGTGTTTTTAAAACAGATTATACACTTTAAAAAATATCTAATTATAATTTTTTATTAAAGATCCAATAATATATTCATAAGTTTTGATTATTGACTAAATAATTGTACTTTTAATATATGCTTAACAAAATCTAAAAATAATTATTTCTTTCATTGTTGGTTTTATAATTAATAATTATTATCACAATATATTTTTTATTATTAAAAATATCTTGTATTTCTTTGTATACATAATTTCTATACATCTCACAAATATTCATATTGTGTAATAAAAAAAATGGTTGGTTAAAAATAATTATTTAAAAAATAAGAATGATTTCTTATGATAAAATATTTTATATTTTAAATCATAATTTTAAAGTTAATATCTCCATTTCATTGAGATGTGCAAAATTTGTGTTATCATGGACATTGAATCACTTTTGGTATATTTATAAGTTCGATTAGGAGTTGATTTCAAGTATAATTTATATACACCCTATTTTTTAACTTATCGAAATATCTTCTAAAAATAAAACTGTTATGGACGAGAATTCCAAAATAGATAATACATCGAACATGATAATTGACCCTAACAATGGATATGAGGGCGAGACACTTTATATTTCGATATACTCATGGATCTCATATCACTCAAGAGTCAAGATCAATGATAATTTATATGCATCATCTCTTAACCCATCGACTCACCTTTTAAGGATAACATCGTGACAGACTAAAATTTCAAAATAGATAATGCATCGAACATGGAAATTGACCATAACCATGTTATCATAGCAGACATGAGACTGAGACATTCTTGTTCCTAGACAGAACATTGGCGTCTACCGTGAGATTGATAGTAGAGTTTCGCTTTACTTATACCCCTTAATCCTTGATTAGGGAATTTGTGTTCTGGTACACTCATGAGTTTTACATCGCTTAGGAGGCAATATCAAAGATAATTTATAAACGCATTCCTCTCTTAATCCACTGAGATGTATTTTAAGAACAAAATCGAGACGAATTATAACTCCCAATTGGACAATATTTCAAACATGAGAATTGACTTAAACGATGTTATCATAGCACTAGTATGAATCATAGGGGGTGATTTAGGATCTTTAAGGTTAGAACCTTGTAGGAAATTTAGGAATTTAGTGATAAGATGGAAGGAAAGAATCACTCTTTCCAAGGAAGGCAACTCACAAAGGATGTGAAAGTCCTTTGTGTTCTTGAATCACTCAAGAACTTAGGAGAATCACTCTCACTAAGATAAAAGAGATAAACTCTAATATTTTTAAAAATAAAACTCAACTTATTATTTCTGATAAAAAATTGTGGTTCAGCTTATAAAGAAGTTTTGTCATCATAGTTACAAATATTCATTAAAGGAAAATAAATGCTAATAATTATTTATTAACCTAGAAATTGAAAACTACTTAATGATTGATTGTAACTGAAATTGTGACATCAAAAAGTCAATCAGCTAAATACCATCTTGGTCTCCCAAAGACTGATAACTAAATTTTCAATTGGGCCCTTATTACAAATTGCAATAAAATCAAACTAAAGTCCATTAATTGATTAATCTAAAACATAATTTGGTCAACCAACAATACTTGTTGAAGAACTTCATTTGCTTCTCTTGCTCCAGCCCTTATCATAGGTCATGTTCACATCATTCTCTCCCTCTTGGAAAGGATTTGTCCTTAAATCGGATTCTTCATCTACATAAAAAAGAGATAAGTCTGATAAATTAAATGTAGAACTAACATTATACTCACTTTTTATGGCTAAATAGTTCTCCCTCACTTTAACTATTTCACTCTTCTTCTTCTTTTCTCTCTTTTCTTGAAGAAAATTTTCTCTCATTTTCTTTTTATCCTCCTCTGCCATCAATTTGATGTTCAAACCTTTAAATTGGGGCTCTGAATACCAACTGGTATGAATCACAAGGGGTGATTTAGGTTCTTTAGGGTTAGAACCTTGTAAGAAATTTAGGAATTTAGTGATAAGGTGGAAGGAAATAATCACTCTTTTCAAGGAAGATAACTCACAAATGATGTAAAAGTCCTTTGATACAACCAAGGGTTCTTGAATCACTCAAGAATTTAGGAGAATCACTCTCACTAAGATAAAAGAGATAAACTTTAATAATTATGAATAAAATTCCACTTGTTATTTATGATAAAAAACGGTTCAGCTTATAAAGAAGCTTTGCTATCAGAGTTACAAATATTCATTAAAGGAAAACTACTTAATGATTGATTGTAACTGAAATTGTAGCATCCAAAAGTCAATCAGCTAAATCCATCTTGGTCTCCCAAAGACTGATAACTAAATTTCCAATTGGACCCTTATTACAACTTGCAATAAAACCAAACTAAAACATAATTTGGTCAACCAATAATACTTGTTGAAGAGCTTCATTTGCTTCCCTTGCTCTAACTCTTATCATAGGTCATGTTCACACCAGGAAATAAGATCAAAATAATCTCGTTTTTAGATAGAATATTGGCGTCCACCGTGGGACCAAGAGTAAAGTCTCACTCCACTCGTATCTCTTAGTCCTCAACTAGGAGCTTTATGTTCTAGTATGCTCACGAGTCCCACATTGCTTAGGAATCAAGGCATAAGGTAGTTTATATATACTTTCATCTCTTAACCCATGAGACACTTTTTCAAAAACAAAATCTTGATGGACTAGAGCTTTAAAGCGAACAAAACCTCAAACATTAAAATTAACCCTAACGATGTTATCATAACAAACAAGAGGTCGGCATATTATCCTTCCTATAACGAATATTGGCTCTACTTATACCCCTTAGTCCTCAACTGGAAGGTTATGTTCTGGTATGTTCACGAGTCTCACATTGCTTATGCACTCTCCTCTTTTAACCCATTGAGACGCCTTTTAAGGACAAAACATGACGGACAAGAGTTCCAAAGCGGATAATACCTAGGACATAAGAATTGATTCTAACAATGTTATCGTAACGGACATGAGACGAGGACATTCTCATTCATAAACGGAACAATTATTTAAAAAAATCACTTCAAATTTTTTTCTATGAAATCAATAGAATAATATTCATGAAGAACATTGAAGAATACCATAACTTAAAGTGAAAAAAATATAGATAAAAGAATAATAAAAATATAATTTTATATTTTATATTTTTTAATCAAAACATATTAATTTTTATAGGTTATTTCAATTGTTTTTAAATATGTTGTCGAAGTTTTTGTTAGAGATAGTAAAATTATTGGTAATTTGTCTTATGATAGTGCTTAAATATTAAATCTTAGATAATACTAGAAAAAAATTTATTATATATATATTTATATTTATTGGTCACAAGCTTCATAAAATATTATTCCCCATTCAATAATAATAGGTATAATAAGTAAAATCAAACATAAATGTTGAATTTAATAAATTGAGGGATGCTAATATAAAGTCAGGGTCAAAATTCCAATCTTGTTAATGCACCTGAGAAGAAATAAAATAATGAGAGAGGTCCCAAAAATAAAGAGGAGGAGAGAGAACTCATAAGATAGAGGATTACAATAAATTGACTAATTGATAAAATCTCATAGCATAGTATTTGCTATTCTTTTCATGTTACTCTTCCTTGATTCCATGATTTGCAAATTGGTAGCCACTTATCCTCCCTTTATGACCTATTTGGGATTTGTCTCTTGTGCAACGGACACTCCACATGGACATTCATATCAGTCTTGTTTTTTTTCCTGATGTTACTCTCTCTATAAACCTTGTTCTTAAGATTGAATTTTGGATATGCCTTGTAAAAGTTTGTAGCTTCTTTCCAAGTGACGAAAGAACTTGGTCCTTCCCCTATTGCACTTATAATTGTTTTAGCTTCTTTCCTCGTAACATAATTACTCTTTTATCAAGCATTACAAGAAGAGATAATATTGGTCCACACTCAGTAGTTTGCAGTGGTAATGACAAGTAGTGTTGTTTTTTTTTTATCTCCTTTAAAGTTCTTAAGTATGGAGATGTGAAAAACATTAAAAACTTTTGCTTTTTGTGATAATTCCAATTTAAAAGCTACAAAACTTAGTTTCTTATTGATCTTGAAGGGGTCTAAGTACCTCAAACCAATTTTCTAATGTTTTCTAAGTGCCATTAAATGTTGTTTATAGGATTGTAGTTTAACTAGCACTAATTATCGTTCTTGAAATTTTGTATTTGTTTTATGTTTATCATCATAATATTTCATGAATTGCTAAGACTTAGTCATATTAGCCCATAATTGGTCTAGTAGCCTATCTTTTTCAACCAATATTTATTACAGTGACAATCCATCCTTATTAAAGATTTCATACTTGATGAATGATAGGGGTCGCACAAAATATAAGGTGTCATTTTAATGTTGGTATGATATGAAGTGTTATATCAGTATTGGGCCCAAGACAACATTTTTACCAAAATCTTTGCATTATCAAAGCAATAACACTAGAGATACATGTCCAAAGTTTTGTTCAAGGCTTCACTTTGCCCATTCATTTGAAGATGATAAG